TACCAAGTTCCAAAAAAGTTGGTGATATATGATGCAGATTTGTTTGTTTTGTTTTTTAATTTATTTATTCGTTGGTTAATAAAATAACCATTATAATTATAGTCTTATATTTAAGTATAATATTTAAATTTAATTTAAATAAGTTATAATTTTATAAAGTTTAATTGATTTATTTTGTTTGTAATTAATAGACGCTATAGCAAGGAATATTTCTACACGCAGCTGTACGAGTGAACTTTGTGAGTGTGATATTCAAAAATAAATCTTTCACTATATTCATGGGTCAATTGATAAAGATGGTGGTCGTATGGTGAACGGATGGTGGTCGATGGTTGATAAAGATGGTGGTCGTAAAGAACGAAAAGAAAGGAAGAAACTAACAAACAACGCTGATTAGCAATAATACGGATAATGAATCACCTTCTTCAAACGAATAATAATCTTTTAAAAATTTATTTTTTGGTTGAAAAAATTGTTAAATAAGTTTAAAAAATCTCTTGTTTTATGAAGTAATAATGTTGTTGTTAATATTTGCGGGTCCCAATTTTGCATTAACACAATTTGCTAACTAGTACTATTAATTGAAAGGCTATTTAGTTTGCAATTGAGATGAACACCCAATAGAAGTGAATGTATTACTAATGGAAGAACACTAGGCAGATTTCTAATTATTGCTAATAATTCCCAAACCCTGTTGGAAAGTTTATATACTTCTTTACTTGTTCAAACGCCCATTAATTTCTGAACTAGAGCAGTTTTTCTTTTTCTTCCTCTTTTTTAATAAATAAAGTTCTATATATAGAGCCCTATATATAGCATGTAGGCAAAAATATACTGCCATTACGAAAACGATAGCTGACCGCTATAGGTCCACTAGAAAACCATTTACTGAACGTGCCACTAAAGGACCACTGACTGACCGCTAAGTTTTGTGCCACTATTGGTCCGCTAAAAAACCGATGAGCAAAACTCAACTGCTCCATTAGCGGCACGCCGCTATTGGACCGGTAGCGTTGCCTACATCGGCCCTATCATGTTTACTGGGAAACCATAACAACTGTGCAATCAATACAAAATAATTTGTTTCCATATTTTAAAAAATAATGCAATATTTCATTTTCAGAATATATATAAAGATTATGTGGAGTTATTACAGAGTGTCGTCCATATTAAGGAAATCAGGGAATTTAGATTTCTGCAAAAGACCAGGGAATAATCAGGGAAATTGGGTTGTATTTTGAAATAATCAGGGAAAATGGCAATGTGGCAAATGTACATGACCTATGCAATTTTGTAACATACACGTAATGTAAAAATTTGTTCAGAAGATTTTTTTTATAGCCTTCTATTGATAATTTGAATGTTTCTTGTAATTATATATTATATATATTTTTCTGAATGAATTTAAGTAGATTTTCTCTAAAGTTCAGCTTTTGTTGCTTTAAATTAAGTCAACAAAAACAGTTTGAGAGTCATGGAAAAGTCAGGCAAATCCATCTTTAAGTATTGGCAGACACCCTGTAATATATTTAATTTATTTGTTTAAGGAAAACAACATCTTACATACCCTGGAACACTGGGAGAAGAATAGAAAAGTTGTTAGATGTTAAATATTATATCTATTTAAAGACTACAGGACAAAACCCACATTAGTTCATGTTTTTAATTTTAATAAAAGTAGCATTTTGTATTTGATGAATTTAGCTTTATATATGTTATATATTACTGTTAAATTCTGTACATAATCATATTCAAACAACTCAGTTATGCATAATACCGTTTTTTGTAGTAAAGTTAAACACCAGTGCACGATAAAAAGGATGGATATACACAAATTAGTGCCATTGGGTACACAAATATGTAAAATTGTTGTTTTTCCTGTTTTCAATAATGCAAAAGAGTCTCAATCTTTAGTGGTATTTGTTATATTATTTTTATAGTGTTGTGTTATGTCTTGAGTAATAACTTCTTTTTTGTTTGTTGAAAATAATACTCAAAAAACTTGAAAGTTTTTTGAGTATTATTATAGTTAGTCAGTAATATTTTCTCTTTTTAAGGTTTTAAAATACAATTTTCTCATTTAAAGTATCTATTCAGTATGGAATAGTCTTGCATAAGTGACTAGTTGTATTATATATTATAAGTATTATTTATACTATTAACATGAGCACTGTTGTATTTTTAATTATGAATTTGTTTCGAGAAAAAATTAAAACACTAAACTGTTTTATTTATTAGCATTCTCTACGCGAGAATATGCTTGGAATTTAGTAGCATCGGAATAAATACAAAATAATCATATAAGATCCGATAAATCTTACTAAGAATTCATACTATAACTTGGAAATCTAAGAAATTAAGATAAATCTTACTAATCTTATAAGATGTTACATTTCTTACAAATCTTAAGAATTAATTTTATTAGTAAATCGCACAAAAAATTTCAAATCTTAATAAGATCTTACTAGTTTTCTTGCACGTCTTGCAAGTCTTACTAATCTTACTAAGAATCTTATTAGGAAATCTTATTAATATTTGTAAGAATCGTCGCTCTGGGATGGGATAGCATTGCGGTTATTGAAAAAGATGAAACGAACGAGACAGTTATTCTCCATTTCACGGTGATAACGCTTGCAATTACCGTATCTTGGAGGGATGCTAGGTGGAACAATGTGCCAGCTGACTGAACCAATATTGTTTTCAATTTTATATTTTTGGACGAGGTTGTCGCGTAAACGTTTATCGTGTAGAGAGGTGAGGCTGAGTTTAATGCATCTCATTTTGTGGTCGAAACGCTTTAGTTTGTGTGGTACTTTGGTACCCCGATGTTGGATGCGTTATATGATGTCTATGTCTTTTTCAAGGTAAACTTACTAGGCAGTAACTGCAAACTCGAGATGTGGCCGTATATAGGTGGTGTAAAGTTGTTATATTTGCTAAAATGCACAACAAAAGTGTTATATTTGCTAAAATGCATGACTCTACATTTCTTGACGTTGAGCTCCTTCAACTAGGTTCGAGTCCAGGTGACGATACTATCCATATCGGATTGCAGATAAGCTTTGTCTTCAGCAGTTCTGACGACGTTCAGGATTTTGGTAACGTCTGCATACATTTTACACACGTTTTGAAGTCAAAAGGATTTTTCGTTCCCAGCCTCCAATCATCGCAATTTTTTTGCACAGTCTTATTATTCGACATACAAATGTTTGGAGTTTGCTCCATGTTTGGAAGTTAGCCATTTCAAGCAGGGCCGGGTTAAGTACTTTTTGGCCTTCCGACACTTTTGGTCTTCTGGCCCCTGTTGGCCTCCTAGTATTCCAAATTAAACAGCAGTTTTACATAAAAAAAATCTATGACCTAATAATGTATTTTTCTTTTGTATTTAAACAAGCATTTTTCGTTATTTATTATTAAAAACACGCTTTGATTAGTATAGGTTTTAAAACATCTTTTGTCAGCACTTTAAGGTTGCAAATGCAGATATAATATCTTTTAGGTCAATGAAATCCAATACCCGGTTTTCAATTTGAACAATAGAAAGATCTGAAAGACGTTCCTCAAAAAAGCTCCAAAATGAAGATATTCGTTCAATAAGTGAAAGTTTAGATCAGTAGGATATTGGTCAACAAATTTTGTGCACTGCAAATAATCTCGAAGATATCTATGCTGCAGAAATTTACAAGAAAACCAAACAGAGAGCTCAACAAACCATTAGCTTGCCGGTGATTTCATTGTCGGCAGTCGTTTAAGATCGCCCATAAAATATACAGTTTCCACATTCTTAATTTCATTATCGTAATGACTCTTGCGTGCTCTTGGTTGCCTTTGAACATAGACATATTTATCCGTGTTGATCAAAGACACGGCTTCCTTTTCATATTGCTCAAAATTGGCGCAAATTAGCTGCATGTAATGCTCCAGGGAGTTGTACAGTTCTTCAACCATACCTAAATCAGGCTTTACGAATTGCAGTTTCTTGTTAACTTTATTGAACCTTTCCATGATTCTGTTCCAAATGATTTTTAAAATAGCAGTCTCAAGTTGTTCCATTTTGGTCAAAGATTCGAAGGCCTCTGATCTTGGTTTTGCTTTCTAATTGTCGTTAAGATCAAGAAGAGCCTAATAGAAAATAATTTTTAATAAGTATGCTCAATCACAAATAAAAAATGTTTTTATTTGATTTTCTAAATAATTCTTAATCATTTCATTCTCATGGGAAATGAATGAATGAAAGCTAAAAGCCGCTTAACTGGTTTTTTGTTTTGTACATATCGGAAGTAGAATCAAAGATGATTGAGAAATATTTTGCAAATATGATTTCGCTAAAAAATTATGTTTGAAGTAAATAAAAAAAATTTGCTAAAAATATTACTTACAGATGATCATATTACCTATAAACTCCATAACCTCGGCAGCTGTTAAGTGTATGAGTTCTTCCGAAATGTCTTTAGATAAGATACAACCCTTTCCTTAGTTTCCATGAGTTATCAAGTGTTTGGCAAGGAAAGGATCAAATTTTACTAATCGTTTAATACATCCTTTCCTTTGCGCATCGATCCTAGTTATTCGTCTGATCGGCAGAATGATAATCCTCTGAGAATGAGCAACATATAAAATATCGAATTATTTTAAACTTCTTTTTTCACCATTATATTTATAGATTTTTTTTTAAGTTTCTTTTTTCACCATTATGTTCAAACTTGAAAGTTCTTTTAAGTCATTAAAAAAATAAAACGTCTAGTTTGTGATACGTTGTATGCGCTGTTATTGCAAAGTTTAAAAATCTCTGGGACAGAGATTTTTAATCTTTGCAACCACAGTAAAGGAGGTCAAGGATAGAGACCTGGAAAATAGGATAGAGGCCAATAATAATTTTTCTTTCAAATTTAATTTGAATATTAGTTAATTTGAGTTTGAATATTAAACATATTGCTATAACATATAGTAAAACAACGTAGCTTATACAGTGACGTATTTTTGAGAGATATATAATATACATCTCTCAAAAATTCACTTAAATGTTCTGGCCCCTTGAACTTTGTGGCCTCCCGGCACGTGTCTGATGTGTCCGTTGGTTAAATCGGCACTGATCTCAAACATCAAAAAATCCTGGATACGTCACTGTATAAGCTACGTTGTTTTACTATATGTTATAGCAATATGTTTTTATGTATGTTTTAAACAAAAGCCAGCAGGCATTATTAGGTATTCTATAATTTTGCCGAGTTGGACACCATTTCCCAACTTTTAAGGTGTCATCCCACCTGTTTTGGGTCATCTCATAGAGCTCTGAGTTATTTGCGTAAGATATCTTGAAATATAAGTATAAATAAAAATAAATATGGCTGATGATAATGGCGATTACGAATCTTCAATATCGTTGACTCCGCATGCAGAATCAAAAATAAATAGAAGTCGACATGCAAAAGAAAAGTATAAACATTATTCATTATAACTTCTATAATTTTTTTAACTTATATCATAAATAACTTCATATAATAATTTTGACAAATTAAATCTCATAATTGATATATGTTTGATATATTATACACTAAGTTTTTTTTTGTATTTGATATAATATAAAACTAAGTTTTTTTATGTATTTGATATATTATACACTAAGTTTTATAATTACGTCATTTTACAAGTTTAGATATAAAGATCAAATAGGCTTTAAAAAAATAGTAAGAAAACGATAAGAGCATAATAAAAGCTCTGCTAATAAATTTTCTTTGACTTCGTGGACATTTAAATTATATAATTATTATACAACTTTACAATTTTATGTTTTAATTTCATAGTCTGTCTGCCACCAGTTTATCTGCATACACCTCGTATACACTCTTTGATTATCTAGTTTTTATAATGATATTTTTGTATAACTTTTTTCTAATAATATAAGGTATAAGTGTTAAAAGTCCTACTAATATTAGGATGTTATATATCTTTTAAGTAATATTATAAAAGTAAATATTTTATCACAATTGGATGATGCTATAAAAATTTATGAACATTAAGGTGATAACATTAAAACAAAATGACTTCTTTAGAATTTTTTTAATTGTCATATGATTGTTATTTCTTTTCTAAATGCTTATAAAATGTAATTAAAGGCGAGGACTTAGATCAGTGAAAATATATCTAAAGCATGCAAGGTGCATATGAGGGCTTAGCTTTTTTCTTGAATCCTAAAAATTTATATTTTTGGCTAAATGTTTACAATTTGTAATTGCTTATGAATCAATTTAAAAATAAGCATTTGAAAAAACAATAATCCTTAATCTTTAAAAAAGTAGAAAAATGTCTCTGATGCATATGAGGGCTTAGAGTTATAATCTATGTTTCACAAAATTTTATTATTGTAAAAATGCTTATGATATAAATTATATAGGGTAACAGGGGGAGCTAAGCCTTTTTGTTTTCAAAAGGTGACCATATCTGAAAAATGCCAGACGTGTACGCAGAGCTGACAACATGGGTGGGGGAGGAGGTAATGGTGGGAAGGACATGTGTTTCTTCTCTTCCCACTTTATTTTAGTTTTTTTTTCTCAGAAAAAGATATTTTTGAAATAAGGCAGTATGCTGCTACTCTTATCCCTCCCCCCCCCCCTCCTATTTTGAAAAAGCCGTGTTGTCTGGCACGGCTGTTTCAAGGTGAGCTTTACAGCTTCTTGTTATTTTTTGAAAATAATCACTTAAAAAGTGTTACTAAAACCTTTAAAAATAATTTAAAGTTGTATGTTCATCATTTTAAAAACGTTAACAAAAATTTATGTGAAAAACTAGAAAAAGTTGCTAAACATGCTAAGTTTAAAAAGATATTCTAGAACATAGCTAGAGGTGCAGAAAATAGGTTTTTTATTTTTATATGCATAAAAGGTAAAATTTAAATAACTTACGTTACTGATCAAAAATGTTATATTTTACATCTATAAATAATGAAACTTAACATATAAAACCAAAAAAAAAATTTTTTCAAAAATAAAAACACACCAGTAACGTAAAAATATAATAAAATAGACACTTATTGAAAAGTGTTCCAAATTTCAACTGTTAGGCATGTAGCTATGTTCTAGAATCTTAGTTGGCCCGAGACAGGTTTTCAGTAAAAGTCGCAAAAAAGAGAAAAGTGATCCTAAATCATAAGCAATATTTTAATAATATTTTATTATGGTCCATTTAATATAAATATTTATTTAACAAAGAAAGATAGATCTTTTATATTTTTTTTATTTGAAGGGACAGCTTTTATAGGGAAAAAAAAAAAGTTATTTTAAAGTTTGTGAATTGTTTAGGGTTGTTCACGAAAGCCAAAGTTGAATTTTCGATTAAAAAAAAAGTTTTCGAAACTCTATTTTTGTTTCGGTAAATTCGAAATAATTTTAAAGTAATTAATTTTGCGTTGAAACAATTTTTTACTTTCGAAATTATAAAATTTGCTTCGAAATAATTTTGCGATTTCGAAATTTTGAAAATATTGTCGAAATAATATAATAACTTTTTACTTTCGAAATTGTAAAATTTGCTTCGAAATATTTTTGCGATTTCGAAATTTTGAAAATATTGTCGAAATAATTTTTTACTTTCGAAAATGTAAAATTTGCTTCGAAATATATTTGCGATTTCGAAAATCCGAAAATATTACAAAAAAAATTTTTTACCTTCGAAATTGTAAAATTTGCTTCGAACTTTTTTTGTAATATCGAAATTCTGAAAATATTACTGAAAAAAATTTTTTACTTTTGAATTTCTTTGAAATATTTTTGTTATTTCGAAATATTTTTTTATTTCGAAAAGTATTACACAATATACAAATATTACTATTAAATTCTAAAATTTGCTTATATTTATTTTATTACTGAAATTATACAAAGTTTTATTAAAATGTTTTTATAAATAATTAAATTTTAAAAAATAACATAAAATAATACCTAAAATTTTTGGTGTTACGGCACAGCGTTGGCAGAGAAAAGGGTTTAACTACCTCCCACTATTTTATAGAAGAATCTGCAATTATTTTAAAAATAACTCAGGGGTCGTTCGCAAATCACCTCACATATTTAGACCTAGCGGGGTTTCGGATTTTATGACACTTTGTAACTTTTTAATTAGGAGGGGGGGGGGACACATTTAAGGGCTTTTTTTCAAACTTTTGAGGGTGTTTTACCGAATATGGGGAGTTTTTTTATTATTAGTAACAGGTTTTTTAAATTTTGGGGCCTTGGTTTTTGGCTCAAAGTTCTTGATTGGTGATGCAAATATAACAATAACATTTATCAACTAAAAGTAAACTTTCTTAAGGAATTTGTTTATCTTTATACGAAGTTATTGTTATTAGTTACAGTTCATTGATATTCCATGGACATCTGCTGCGCCGGACAAACAATACCTTCTCCTTCACTTCTCTCGCCTGATTAGATTATGCTTCATGACTTTTTACTTTTTTAAAATTATTTTTAGGAATGATATTTACCCTCACCAAAAGCTTGAATAGTCTTTTTGATAGCTTGAATAGTGTTAAAAAAATAAATAAATTTTTTTTTTGCCTGTCGTTTTGATTACATAAAAATTTCTTATGAAAATATTTTTTTTATTTCGAAAACAAAATGATTAAAAATCAAATTCATCCATCTAAATTTGAATTAGCAAAAACTAATTGTTTTTCGAATTTTTCTTTAAAAATCTAATAAAGATTATCTGGTTAAACAAGAAATAAAGAATTTTGACACTCCCTTCTTAGAATGCCTAGTTCACAGCACGCACGTAAGTCATTATTATTCCTCAATGGCAATTCCCTTGAGGCCTTAAACGCATGAGATGAAATCTTTGTTGCAATGTAAACGGCTAATTACTCTCTAGTGGTTATTTAGAGATTTACAACGGTGTCAAATCAATTTATGCCTTTGCGATTTTTGTGTTACATAACTCTAAAAAAAATGTAACTTTATATTAAAGTTATAACAATCTCATTAATATCTCGGTAACGTTAGTGAAGGAACATGTGATACAAATTTATTTTCACATAAGTTACTAATTTGTTAATATTTGTTACATACGAACAATTAAAAAACTACTTGATTTTTAGTTTGAATAAACAATGTCAAAACAAATAAATCTGTTATTAAGGAAGGAATAAGAAAACAAAACTTCGTTTGGACATATTTTGAAATGGACCAAAAGAATCAAACAAAATGCAGCATATGTTATAAGATTTTACCTTACAACAGTTCGACCAGTTCAATGCAATCCCATTTATCAATTGATCATTGCATTAATTCTAAAATATCTAAAAAATCAACATCAATCAAAATCAATCTATATCAATTAATCAAAATCAATCTATAGATATGCATTTTTGATAAACTCATGCATTTCAAAGGCAAAAATGTTTATAAAAACATTTTATGAAATGCATCTAAAAGAATCCGAAGAAATCGATATAATAATTGAAACAAATTGTTTAAATAACACTTTAAACTTGTCAAACAGCTCAGCTGACAATACCATAAAAACATATCAGCAATCGTCAACGCCACCTATTGCAAATAATATTACTTTAGTTGACAACAAAAGACGAAAGTCAATCAACTTAATTGAACTAGTAACAGATAAATCTTGTTGTAATTTAATTGAGAGCAATGATAAACTTGAAAAAGAAATAAATGATTACAGTCTGCAATACTTTCAGAGCTACGAAAATAGTGCCATTGAGTTTTTCCAAGCTAATCAAAAATTGTTTGCGGTTTTGACACAAATTGCACGGATAATATTTTCAGTTCCAGTGACATCCGTGCCATCAGAATGCTGATTTATTGAAGCAGTTAGTTTTTATTAAAGAAAACAAGTAATTAAAAACATATTTCTTTACTAAACTATATTTTAGTAAAAGTGCATTTTATAAATCTTAGTAGTTCAAAGCACTTGTGTTCTTTTTTTTTTATCTGATGAACTTTTTTACAAACAGCTTAGTTAATGACAATATGTTTTCTGTTATATTCTTTTCAATTCTGGAAAAAACACAATTATCCAATCATTGAGCTGCCATCATGGCAGGTGCAAATAGGTGTGACGTGGTGAGGTGTCATTAAAATTTTTGAGTAAAAAATTAGGTCCTTGTTTTTTGAAATTCGACGACCTGTCTAAAAGGTCTACATTTGCCGACTTCTTTAAAAGGGTTATTTTTGCCGACTTGAAGGTGTGTGTGTAAATGATTCGTAAATTTATATAATCTTTCCCCGTTACTGAATGGTTTAGAATTTGTAACTAAAGAGGAGTAATTTCATAGCTTGCAACAGTAGCATTTACTGTTATGATATTGCCCTTTTTTAAGAAATCTTGTTGTCCAAACAACTAAATATAAATTGGATTGTTTTATCTTTCCCTAACTTGAGGAAAATCTTTATGAACAAAAAAGTGATTAAAAGGGAGTCTTT